TGGACAGTGAGAGAGAGAGACAGAGAGAAAGGTCTTCCTTTGCCGTTGGTTCACCCTCCAATGGCCGCCGCTGCAGCCGGCGCACCGTGCTGATCCTGGCAGGAGCCAGGAGCCAGGTGCTTTTCCTGGTCTCCCATGGGGTGCAGGGCCCAAGCACCTGGGCCATCCTCCACTGCACTCCCTGGCCATAGCAGAGAGCTGGCCTGGAAGAGGGGCAACCGGGACAGAATCCGGCGCCCCAACCGGGACTAGAACCCGGTGTGCCGGCGCCGCAAGGTGGAGGATTAGCCTATTGAGCCACGGCGCCGGCTCCTGACCCAGCTTCTTAACGCAGCCTGGGAGGCAGCGATCTCACCGAGTCCCCGCCCTGCACCCACGCAGGAGACCCGGATGGAGCTACAGGCTCCTGGCTTCAGCCTGACCCAGCCCTGGCCGTTGGAGCCAAGCAGGGAGTAAACCAGTGGATGGAAGCTCTCTCCTTACCCCCTCTGCCCCGTCACTCTTTCAGGGGAGGTTTCAGGTTCTGAAGCATTTCAGTTTTGCATGAGGGATGCTCAGCCTGTCAACACTGTCACATTCCCGGGGTGCTCTGGTGGACCGGGCCTGGCTCAGGACCACGGTGCCCACCTGCTCCCTTGTGTACCGGTCATACAGGGCCCTTGTTCCCTCCCGCCATCGCATCTGGGGACCACGAGGACTTGGAGTCCGCAGTACCCGTCAGCTGAGAGCGGGCGCGAGGGAACCCAGATCTGTGTGGGTTCACTTCCTGTTAGCTAGCTCCTCATCACTACCAGCTAGGAGGGTCCCAAACAAGGGCTGGGTTAAGCTAAGAGCCTGGGCAAGACAGAGGAGCCCCAGATCCAGGGAAGAGCGGTCAGCGGCGGGACCCGGGCAGGGGAGGAGGCAGACCCCGCACAGGTCTGTGGGACTTGGACGGTCTGGGGTGCAGGGGGGAGGCGCAGGCAGAGCCCAGAACATCCTGTCCCTGCCTGGGTCACTCAGGCATTTACACCGAAGGGCTCCTGCAGATGCAAGAAGCCAGGGCTGTAAGATGTACCCCCAGGAGCACGCAGGAACACGGCCACCTCGGCCGACTCCAGAATGCGGCAGGGTGGCGGGGCCGGAGGCCCCGTCTGTGGGTGCACCTGTGCATGCCACGCCCCCCCCCCCCCCCCCAGCAAAAAAAAAATTTTTTGGGGGCCCCCCCCCCCCCTGTAAAAAATTTGTTCGTGTCAGTCTCTCTGGGCCAGCCGGTGCTCTTCTTTGGGGAAAAAGAACGCCTTTATGCGGACGATTTTTTATGGCTCGGGCGCCGCCAGG